AATTGTAATTTATATTCTATGTTCTTGAATGGTGCGTAAGATGCGCATGCGCATACGTCGAAAAAAACGTCCAAAACTTACGGAATTACGGTGCATAACTTTTCGTACGATTTCATAGGAACTCATAATGAGAATAGGTTGCTGTATTAGGAGCCGTTCTTAGATTCTCCACCATTTAAGGAAAAGTCCGGTCAGCAAGAAATAACCAATGGATCATTATTTATACCTTAACGTAATACGTTCGCCATTTTTGCCCAAATATAGTAGCCCCTCCCTCCTGCCATCTTCCAGCAGTGACGTCACGGTGCGGTAAGCCTAGCGCCATTCTCCCCGCTTTCCAAGCTAAATCAATGGGAACTACTAGACACATCTGCAATCAACAACAATTATTGAAGATTTCCAGAGGACTTCACCATTGAAATTCACCAGAGCTATAGTGAAACTGACAATGCCCACGTGCATGGCAGCTGGATGCTGGAATACATCGAAAAGGGTTATTCCACCTTTCTGATTCCTGATCCTCCACGGACGGGTTGGTCGTTGGATCGCCAACTTGAAGAGGGAGGATTTGCCATCGAACTTCTGGCCAGAGAAAAAACCCGTAATATGTAGCCAACATTTGGAAGAAGGTGAAAAAGGGTCCCAGCGTTCTGGCGCACCTCGCTCTGCTAGCTGCTCCATCTTCACCAGTCGTTTTCCAACAGGAAATACGCAGAGTGTAGAGCGGATGGAGAACTGACCAATCAGAGGCCTCCTACAATTTCTGAGAGGTTCAGCAGAGTGTCTGTGGAAGGGGGCGGAGCATATCTGCATTCACTATGACACACACGCAGACCACCTGGTGTCTGAGCCTTAAGACAGCCCATTGTTCCCAGTTGGAAACCCACCAGAACATGCTAGACGCTCCTGCAGCTGGTTGAGTGCTGCGGGCCCCGGGGCCTCCTCCCTGACATGTTTACTTCCTGGGTTTTCAGCACGTTTGGAGGAATGTTTCCCGTTAGTGATGCGGAGGTCCCAGACTTTCCATAATTACTCTACCAAGCTGTGGATGGGATGTATGTCGCCATGGAGATGTTTCTACCCTGATCCTGAGGAAACAGTTACCTGCGGTTCTTTCTAAAATCACAGCACCTTTTATATCAGGTGAGGTCAGTGAGACGCTGTCCTGCGTTTGGTTCAGGAATGTTAACCAAGCAGCGATCAAGCTGCACTTCTAGGTTCAGTTTTCTTGTTCTGCTCACAATGACCCAAACTGCTACTTCCTGGTTTTCTGGTTCTGATCACTAGAACTTTGTTTCCCCCTCTGGTTCTCTCAGCCGTAAACATCCGCCCTGATCCCTACACACAGCACTATAGTGGTTACGCCATTTTAAATCAGCGTCCAAACGTCTAGTGGATGAAAAAGTGCTGGACTCAAAATTTCCCACAAAGCACCTTGAGAAGTAGTGATCATCCACGGTCACTAGACGAACAGGTATATCCCAGAATGCTTTGCGAGGAGAGCTCTCTTCAGGTAGCGACAGCAGCGACGAATAACTAAGATGGTGCAGGAAGCGTGCGGGGAGGCGGAGCTACGTGACCAACGGAGCAAAAAGCAGTGATCGTCTGTCTGAACGGTCAGTGAACTGAGTTCACTATAAAGTTCACTATAGTGTCCCCGCTCTCTATAGTGATGGAGGGATTTAGGGGTTATGGCGGACGGTGGGACACAGTTTTACGGTTAGCTAGCTGTAGATATCAGGCGGCTCAACCGGAGGTGACCCGGTCAGATCGTGACCTGGTTACGTCTGTCCGTGTCACTACCTGTCGCCGAGCAGGATAATTAGATCCGGATCACCAAAAACTACGCAATAACGGCACCGAAAATACTTATTTATATACTTAAAACATTAAAGAATGCTAAACTACATCGTATAGAAAATACTGGAAGAAATGGAAACGTTTTCCATTCTCTCCGTTCTACTGCGTGATGTCATCATCGGACACGCTCAGAGCATCACAGTAACGGTCCAAAGAATAATGAAGTGTTTTGCTTTATTTAGCTTTTAGAATATGTGATATTTATGCAACTAACAAAATATTCAAAAGGAACCCGCCGCCGGAAAAGACAAAAGAATAAAAAACGAAGAAAAACGTATTGAACAGAAGTTATTCTGGTCAGGCATGCGCAGGACGGACGGTGCTTCCGGGACGGATCGGGTAATGACCGTCCATCCAGAGTAAATAATCCCACATATTCAGAGATTTGGATTCTGTTATTAAAAAAGATAAAGTTCCAGAGAGGACATTTCGCCTCTAGCTAGGCTCTGTCCACAGAAATGCGTCAAACTGTTTACAGACTAAAAAGGCGTCCAAGTTTGCGACTTTAGTCTCTGTTGATAAAGAAGCTCTTTAACTCCTCAGTCTGAACCTGAACCACCGACAGCCTGTTCTTCCTCTCTGCTCTTTTCCTTTTAGCTAAAACAGAGTCGCTTAAACTGCGTTCTGTCCTTAAGGCCTGCCTGTAGGGGGCAGCGTAGTCAGGAGGCAGACTAGGCAGCTGCCTAGGGCCCCAAATGTCCTACATCCACCCCTGGAGGAACGTATTTCTTTAGGTTTGCTGACTTTATGTCAACATTGTTCCTTCCTGGTTAACATGACGGATTATTGACGGTTGTGTTGCAGGACGTTTGTCCGCGTGTCCCGGGGTTAAACTGGACTGAGCTGTTCTGCTTCGCCATCAGGATTCCGGTTCCTTCCGGTTCTAAACGTTCCTATAAACCTCAGCAGAACAACGTTTTCAGCAAAAACATGAAAGCAAAACGGTTTTCCAGACGGTAGAAAGTTCCCCTCGCTTCAACATGGAAGCCGCGTCCTGAAAAGGAAAATTTAGGACCTTTTTTTATCTTTATTAGTGTTTTGGTGAAACAGAAGGACAGCTTTAAGGGGCGGAGCCAGCTCACTTTTCCACTAAATCAATAAAATCATCATTTTAAACGTTATTCCTGCCTGAGAGCAGCGGCGGCAGCTGCTGCTCCTCCTGACGCTGGACCAGTCAGCAGCGGCGGCGGTTTAACCGAGGAGGTTAATCAGATTCATCCCTGACCAGTTCCCTGAACGTCCCGGGTAGAGGGGGACGGACGCCGCTGCGTGTCTCCGTCTCACTCTCATCATTAGAAAAGGAAATTGCGGCTCGTCTGCGGCAGATGAAGAATATGATATTTCCATTTCTGCTCCTCGGCGCGGCGCCGCTGCACCAGCAAAGCGTAATCACAACACTGTCACAACGCATCCAGCTCACAATAGATCATCCAGCGGCGCTGGAGTTCCAACGCCGCTTCATTCGGCTTCAGCTTCAACCAACAGAATATTTCCTTTACTTTGCTTTGATCTGGTTAATTGATCGACCTTATAGATGACGGATCCACAGGAAGGCGCTGCTCTGCCTGATTTAACATCTGATGGTGTCTCCTAACCAGTCCAGCTTTCTGAGCGCCGTCGCCGAGGCGGGCTGGACAGCAGGAAGTAACAGCAGACGCCGCAGCGACTGAGGAGCCGATAAACAGCTTCAGCTGGAGGTGACATCAGCCTCCTGCTGAGCCAAGAGGACAATTATTATCATTTATCCACTTCAAACGCTGAAGCTTCAAATTCCTCTTTTCTTTCCTATCAAACTTTTTTCCTTCCACTAAACTTTCTATTAATCGTTGAACTACAGCAGCTTTCCCCAGAAACACTCTAAATACGTCATCCTGTGAAAAAGGATCCATATTTAGGGTTTTATTCGTCTTTATTATAATAAATAAAAATAAACTAGCTGAGACAGTGAGAGTGGAAGAAAGGAGGAACTCCTCTAGAACGTCTGGAGACGTCAGAGGCTTCACCAGAACCGCTGCAACACACACCTCTACAGAGGAGCCTTCCTGCCTACAGCATCAGCAGCGGATGAAGAACATCCTGCAGGAGTCAGGAGAACATTTGATTTTCCTTTAATGAAGAGTTGGAATTTAGTTTAATGGATTTCAGGGAATCAGAAAATTGTTCTGAGTTGATCCCAAAGATTTCCATTAATTTTTAAGTCAGAAATGGAACAAATGGTCATTTTTTCCTTTCACTAAACTTCCCAAAGTGATTCTCAGCTTCTTTAGCAGCAGCTCTTTGTTCATAATCACCTTTTATAGCTTTAAATATGATTATTTATCATTTTAATTCTGAGCCACAGGAATTAAAATTATTCAGTAAAAAATGACTGGAAATATATTTAATTTTTCTCTGAACATCATGAATCAACTTCAGCTTCACAGTTAGAGTCAGTTAACCTTCAAAGGACATTTCTACAGTTTTATCAGCTGCAGAACAAGGAAGGAAGGAAGGAAGGAAGGAAGGAAGGAAGGAAGGAAGGAAGGAAGGAAGGAAGGAAGGAAGGGAGG